TTTCCCTCCCACACCACACACAGTTTGGGTGTATCATGTAGTTGATTAGCAGAGTAGTTGATACTACTTCTCGACTTTGTCAAAACCCAAAAATGTTGGAAAAAACCCAAGTTTAGAATCAGATTTTAAAGAAATGCCCAATGCATTATCCCTTCTGATCAGTTTTTCAAAAGGATTATGGTGATTTAGATGATGAATAATTAGAAGATGAAGCCTGACAGGATGATTTTAAATTAAGCTATCCAGCTGTTAAGGAAACTGAAGTTTTTGGTCAGAGAAGCAGCATTTATGGTATTTTCTAGTTGCATAAAAGTACCCTCTTCTTGTCCAAATTCTCTGTTGATCTACATCCCATCCCCACTGGCTACCTTAACACAAAGCAGCCACAAACTAGCTACAGGCCTCTCTCGCTCAAGAATACCTCCTGTGCAAGGGGCACCTCTTGGACACATTTGCAGAATGTAAAGCTTATCCTCACTCTTTTCATTACAGGCTCCTCAAAGCCACACACCAGCTGCTCCCGTTCTGCTACATTACCTTAGTATGTACCATGCCATGGCATCATAACTAATCTAGAGCCAAACATGTCTTTATCCAACCCGTATCTCCATCACTTGTGAGCATTCATGAGCCAGAAAGAACCTAGACTGACTTTAGATCCAGAAAGTTTGCATGGCTGGCCACCTGAAGAGATAATCTACTTGCAGACTGAAGACATTTTAGGTAGACTAGAATTACAAGCATAGACTCTATCAAGCCCTACCTCAAAAGCCAACACTTGCTTCCCCTTTGCTGGTAAAACTGTTATATGCTTAAAAGGAGAGGCGGGTCAATGGAAGAGATTTAAGATCAAAAAATTATTTCTCAGCTGTAACAAAGCACTGTGGTAGTAGCACTATATTTTCTTTAATACAAAAATGAAAGCTTAAAATGACTAACTTGCAGATTTTGGTGAAACTCTGCATTAAATAGCAATGTTTTTATTGATATTCAAAATACACAAAACCCAGTTTAATTTTGAACTTCCCTGTGCAGTGTGAGAGTTGCCCCCCATCATGCTAACTCATTAGAACCAGGTAGAGAATCTGTTTCACTTTATCCATATTGCAATAAAATTACATTAGTCAGATTCTCTAACCAACTACTCACTCCTTCAAAATACTCAAGCAACATAAATGGTGAGAAGTAATGCTTTCCAAAATCACTTTTCAGTTTTAATAGTGCAAGGCAGACTTAGAAAATTCTACTCATCTAATTAGCTAAGGAGAGTCTGATACTGGCATGTAAAGAAATTTAAGGTAAGTAGACAGTGCACCAATTGATTTACATGACAATTTGCGAGACTGCTTTGAGGTAAACACGAATGCCACAATTAAAGAAGAATATATGAAGACATATATAGTTATGATATCCATGCAACCAGCTCCTTTAGTTCCATAACCCCAGGAGGGACAGAGACCTGAATTGGTTTTGCTCTTTTGACCTTATCACGTGCATTCAGCCTACTAATCCATCTTCTGAGATGACTGCCCACATTCCTAACCTCTGAGCAGCTTCATACAGCTACCTTTTTAATTAAAAAAAAAAACCCCACCACATTAATGTTTTTTCTTTTTCTCCAAGCATGGATCAGACAGAAGTAGGGATTACATTACAAATCTCACAGGCTACTTTCACTGTAGGCCCTCTGACTCTCATAGGGTTTAATGTTTCATGACCAGCGTGCAGTAGAAACTCATCCACACATTGGGATTTCCATTTCTCTGGGAGTGTCAAACAATCATTTTTAGCCCTGGCCAGTCATGCAATATTAGTTCTTAATATCATACCATTTTCATCTGTAAAACTCAAGTGTAATTTTTGGGAATTAAATGTCACTCCAAAGCCCTAGGTACTAAGGCAGCCACTTGGCTTTGGAGACAGATCAAAATAAGCTACAAATTAGTTTTCTAGTAGAGCTCAAATACAAAATGTGTGATGGGGGATGACATCTTTTATTGGGATACTCTGCTAACTCACCAACAACTATACATGCCACAATTCATATCTGCAAATTTTTCTAAAAATGAAATATTCTTGATTTTTCTGCAGGGAAATAGCTCCACTGAAATTTGACATCCATTCATTCCCATGACAGCAAAATGATGATGATCACACATCACATGCAGGATGTATCAGAAAAACAATGGTGAAGGTAGAAGTGGGGAGAGTACTTATTGGCTAAGTTTGCATACAAGAATTTTCTCTCATCCTGTATGCCCTAGTGTGCACGTCTCTTTCAAAATGTGGTTTATTACTGAAAGTCAGCAATAAACTGTTCAAAACTCAAATTGTCTGTGGCACTGCACTAAATAAGTACACAGTTAACAGGGGTTAGTAATATAGTAGTGAATAAATTCAAGGTTCTTCATCATGAAATGTCAGGAAGTACAGTAACCCAATTTTACTCAACAGAATGGATCATGTTAGTTTACTAATTCTTAATAGGGATGAACCATTACTGTGTTAAAACTTGTTATATTCCACTCCAGGCAAGATGGCAGAATTGTCCATCCCACTTAATCATTCTGATGTGAAATAAAATTGGTCCTTCGGTGGGTCAAAGATTATCATTGTTTCTCCAAACTTCTTTACAATGCCAGGAATTAGGAACACTGCATAGTGATCCTGTATTTCACTGAAAGCTATTACATAAATAAGAAAAAATGGGAACCCTGCATGGAGCCACAGTGCAAGAATTGTAGTATATTAAAAGTGTGACTGATGCTATTCTCAGGTGACAGGAAGAACTAGAGTTCTGGGTGTTGAATATGAACACTGAATCGGTGTCTTACTGAAGTATTTTAAAGAGCTTGCTTGAAGCTCTGGCAAGCATAAAATGCAGTGCTATCAGTCTGTAAGTGATGTGTCCAGAATCTGGCAGATCTCATTGCTATCACTGAAACACAGATAACTCAGGTATGAGTTTTAACTATGCTAACAATTTTATTTTGTGTAAATTTTGTGTGTGTCAGAGAGGAAGGCTCTTGAACTGGTCAGTTCTATCCCATCTGCTGTCCAACATATTGCTGAACATACAGAAATATCTTAATTTTTCTGCAGACACCTACTCTTCCGGTTCCTCTTTCCCAAAAGGCATTTACTGTTAATAATGGATTTTTTTCCCACAAAATGCACTGAGCAGCCAGTTAGACAAACACTCAGAATTTTTGGCTGCATCCTCACTTAAAGAGGTGTTTTTTAGAGCAAGACTTATCTTTTTATTAGTGAAGACACTGCCTCGCACAGCAGTTCCTGTATAGCACCCTTCCTCCAGCACTTGAGATTGCAAGAATTTTGTTTATATTGGTGGAACTACCTCTTCTTGTCCCACAATAGTGAAACCTGATAAGACAGTTTTCCCTCCCAATTCCAGAAACTTTTTTCCAGCACAGCTTAGGTTTTGTCAATAATTTCAAGCTAAAAATACATTCTTAGCAAGGAAAGCACCATCCCAAAATACAGCAAGTGCATAAATACCTGGAACACCCATTAGTTACTCTCATAACAAATTTGTATTCTGCCTCAGGCTAACTGTGTACAGAACATAAATATTTACCTTCCTAATGGCCACTGGGAATGCTACCCTGGGGTCATGTAATCAATTGACCAAAAAAAAGTATCACAGGGGAGATTATTTATATAGCTGTTTATATGGGGGGTGGGGGGAAGAACTGCTTATATCATTCTGCTTTTAGCCAAAAAAGTATTGCATGGTCTTAATTTATACGAAAAAATAAATTATAGACCTTCTGAAGCAACACCAGGAGCACCACTCCCATTGCTTGGACAGCTGCTTTTCATAGGAACGGCCTGCCAGATTGAATACCAAAGCTTAGCCAGATAAGATTATATAAACAAGCTGAATTCCACGAAGTAGTAGACTGTCAGTCTCCTATAGGAACAGTTCATTTTAGACTCTACGTTTTCAGAGTGTGCATGCTCTTGGCTTATTATTTCCTCTGGGAACTGTGGAACATTAGTTGACAGCTCTGGAAAGTACTTCAAAGACAGAATTACTTCCACTAG